GGAATGTGAGAGGACACCCTTGAAGGTGTCAGAATGAGCAGTTAGTAAGATAAGAAGGGGAGCAATAGAGAGCAGTAGTCAGAAACCAAGAAAAAAAATGTTAATATCTAAAGGACTAATCAATACTAATGAATACCTAATCTAATAAATACCAAGTCAATTAAATATAAATAATTCAAAACATATATCAAACAGATTGGTAATGAATATCCCTTTTCTCAAGTATGATTCCAGCTACAGGGCTTTGGAATCTTCTATAGATCATTAAGCATTGGGAAGGTAGCATGGGTGTCTTGGAGGCATTTCACTGATTTAGGTGGAAACTAAGTAAATGCATATATCTAGAAATGATACAGGAATGGCTGAAAAGCCTGTGAGCACTTAGCTACATTTGCAGAGAGGTATGCATGGTCCTCCACCAAGTTTGAATTGGTTGATTTAATTCCCAAACATGCTTCAGTTTCAGCAGAGATTCAAACAGTTGTCTCTCACCCACCATCTGGAGCTGGTGTCCCAGATGGAGTGCAAGGTCTGATAACATTTCGTGCTTCCAACTGGGGCTTTTTCTGGAGGCAGTTCATAGGATAGCATTCCTGTCGGCCCAGGAAACACGGGGATAAATAAAGAAAACAAGCCATGGTTGTGAACGTGTTACTGTTTTGGGAGAAAATTCAGTGATTCATTTGACCAATTGTGTCACAAAAAGATCACTAACCTGATAGATTGAGAACACACACACCAAAAAACACACACAAAAAACAAACAAACAAACAAAAAAACCAACAATAACCAGAGTGGGAAAATACAGTAAAGTGAGAAAAATAGGATACACAATTATCATGTATATGGGGCATTAAACAAAAATAAATAAAATCATATATAAAAAAACTGAAAAAAAATTGAGTATATTTTTTTTAATAACAGAAAGCACATCTAGTGAAAATAGAAGAAACTCAAATATTTATAAATTTTGTTTTAACATGCAACAGGGGTGAAGAATAGCGCTTATTCCTTTTATCCTTTCATGAAATTTACCCCTATTTATAAAATTCAGCTTCATCGATGCTAATAGCCGTGAAAGTCAGGCAGCCACCCTCCCTGTCACCAATGAATTGCCTGGGGTGCTGCCTTCTCAAGCTCCTGTTTTATTAATGATCTTGAAACTGAAATACCAGGGAATGAAGAAGTGTTAAGTCTTAGTGATATGCTACCAGCATTTGCCAAGATAATGAAATACACTGAGATGAGAAAACACTGGGGAGGCCAATGAGAAGCCAACTGTTCCATTTTCAGAGCATCTGACCTCTGCAGTCATGATTTCTGAAGATGAGCCCTCCTTGGCCGGACTTGGGTGGTTCACCCTCTGCCCTTGTGCAGGCATCTTTTCTCTGAGAGGTGCAATTTGTCCTTGATGAAGCTTGGATTGATTGGTTTTATTTCCAAACATGTTTCAATTGCAGCAGGGTTATAATTTGGGAGGGAAAAATGGGCTTTAGGCTTTATAATACTCTCACTTTATTAATTTTTTTAATAAAGGAGAAGAATTATTCAAGATATGATTATCCAGTGGCCCAGTTTGCATAAGTTAAATTACACATCATTAATATGTTAAGTTTCATAAAATTAAAAATGCTGTTAAATGGTTCCAGGATCATTTTTTCCCCTTTCAGGCTACATGTAGATATAGTTTCACCACTTGTTTTATTTAAACTGAAAAAAGATAGTGTGTGTTCTGAGGCTGTAATAGGCACCAGAGACAAATTAAAACAAAAGAATGAAATTGTCCAGGTAGTCAGTAGTTGCTTGCTTCTGTCAATGGTCACTGCCTGGGCAGCTCTGCCCAGAGCCACCAGAGTCTTGGGATCACCAAGACATAGCAAGATTGGGAAGCAAGATCTTTGTAGCATCAAAGGAGTTCACTCAGTGTTTAAAGTAGCTGACATTATCTAAGATTAAATAACTGAACTGGATATCAGAGATCTGGAAACTTCTTTTACTGGGTAGATGGTGTCAAGGGTCAGATGCCTGGGTCTAGTTCCATCGTTTTGATGATGCTGAAGGATCCCAAGAGATGACTGGGGAAGATGTTTGATAGCAGAAGGACCAGATGATCGGCATTATCCTCTACTGAGTGTTTGCTAATGTGTGTCCTTGCATTTTATAAACGCTATCTTCCTACTGCTCACAAATGGTCGCTTAAGAGGGTGGTCACTTCTAGTCTTCATGAATGAAGAAATGGAAGCTTTTCAGACTTCATCATTTGCCCAAGATGACATAACACAACAAGCTTTCACACTTGGAGACCAGAATCCATTTTCTTAAACACTAAACTAGTCTAGACTTCAATGTTATTAGTCTCCTTGTCCTTATCTTTATATTTTTAAAACTTTAAGAACTTGCAAAAACTCTCTTCTGTCATCTCATCCTGAGCATCTGAAAACAATCAACACCTCTAACATGAAATTCACCCGAAATAGCAGGGCCTTCTATGATAGTATAATGAAACCCATAGAAAGCACATCTGGAATTCCTGGGAACATTCTCTCTGTGATGAATTTAATTTGAATTTCAGTAACAACAGACACATTTCACCCAAAATAGATACATGTGACTCCAAATCACTAAGTGGTCAAGTGTACCTTTGTGAAACCTTACATCAGATAGTGTGTGCTGATGTGATTCACTCAAGGTGAATCTACATGAATGGTTAAATTCTCAGAAGTAATACAGACATTTTGAAAAGTGTGTTCCCCCCAGGCACCTACAAATGATGAGATTCATTAACATAAGTGCCTGCACGGTGGCCATCAGGCCTCTTCCGAGTCGAGTGCTTGGCCATCTAATTGGGTGACTTCTAATCCAGGACTGCTCAGATTCCCCATCATCTTCATCTCAAGAGCTTTGGTTGATTGGACAGAGATGGGCTATGAGGGTTTTCTCAGAAAGCGTATCCCTAGGCCACTCTACATCAATAGCAGAAGGAATAGGCCCTTAAAGAGGCCTGAGAGTGACATGGCTAGCTTCTCTCTTATCCCTGAGAGGTATACTCTCAGCTTCTCATAATGGAATAAAATGATCTCAGTATCTCCTTTGCTGCATATCGACCTGCTCCACCTGCTGCTGTCTTTCACTTTCCTAACTTAGCATCCTCTTCTCCGCTTTTCCCACCAGAGGTCCTGCTTCCTTCTCTCACAGTAATTAGACTTTTCATTATTGGTAATAAACCATCAAGAGTATGCCAACACAAAAGGAGAACCTGTTTTGCATTGATTCATTAAACAAATATTTATTGAACCCATGCTAGGCACTGTTTCAGGCATTGGACATGATTTAGTGAAGAGAAAGCCTCTGTGAAGCTCCTGTCTTTGGGATGGGGGCAGATCACAAACGAGTAATGAATTAGAAGGTCAGACTCTGATTCATGCTCTGGAGAAAAATTTTGCACAGGGGTGGAGGTCCTGGGAGGAGGTGCTATTTTCTTGTGAATGATCAATGAAGATCACAACTTCTTGAGTGTAAAATGAAATATTGAAGAGGATATCTGGGGGAAGAAAGTCCCAGGCAGAAGTACTAGCAAGTATCGATACAAAGGGCATAAGCCCTGAAGGGAGGTTGTTGTGGCTGCAGGGAATGGAGCAAGGGGAGAAGATTGGAGGCAAGGCCAGGTGAAAAGCCAGATCAGGTAGGGTCTTCTAGGCCATTATAAGGGCTTGGGCTTTTATAGACATACATGAAGCCTCTAGATGGGTTTTTAGACAAAGAGTACCATAATCTGATTTTCATTTTAAAAGAGTTACTGTAGCTCCCAAGATAAGAATAGATGATATGAGGGTTAAGGAGAAAGCTGGGAGACAATTGCAATAACCCAGGAAAGAAATGATCCTGGCTTACATCAGGCAGAAACAATAGAGGTGGAAATCAGCTGAATTCGGGTGGGTGTTAGGGTGAGTATGTTAGGAAAGTTGAATTAGTTGTTGCAAATGTTTTGAACTTCTCCAACTCCTCAAATTCTTATACCCAGGAAGAAAGTTTCCTGCCTTCTAGATGCCCTCTTCTCCCCTACCTTAGGTCATTAGGTCAAAGGCTGCCTGTACCGCACACAGAAAGAACTGATGGTCCTAAGCTGAACACTAGTTCCATAGATACCTGACTGGGGGGGTTGGGGGGAGAGTTAGTTAAGTTCCCTTAGCCTCAGTTTCTTTCTCTGTGAAATGGAAATATGAGTAGCATCCATCTCTGAGGTTTGCAGTGAAAGTTAAATGAGGTATCTTTATGGAGAATACTTAGTGCAGTGACGGCATAGAGGTAGATTGAATAAATGCTCCCTATTATTATTATTATTATTATTATTATTATTATTAAAATCACTTTAAATTATTGCTATTGTTGTATGCCCATCTTGCTTCTAAGTCCTCAGGGAGGCCCAGCACATTTTATTCTTCTTCTCTGAGTCCTGAAGCTTTCTGCCTAAGCCCTGAGAGGAGTCTATTTCCACCACATGTACATATCAGGCATTTTGATGAAAGTGGCTTCCCTCTCTTTCATTTCCTAGGTCCATCTGGAAGCCTCTATACTCCTATTTCCTAGATTTCAGACCAACAAAGCTGGGCTCTGACAAACACGCATTAGGTCCTTGCATCTATTTGCAAATTTACTGTCTCCTTCCCATACTTTGCTCTTTCCAAACCTCCCTCTTCTCTGCATCTGGCTTTCCTTTGTAATCAATAGTCAATCCAGAGGGCCTGCCAGAGCCTTGTGAGTTGACTTCATTCATGCCCTGCTTGCTAAGCCCCAGTGCAGTCCCCATTCCATCCCTTTCTGTCAACTGCCGGGTATAGGTCCTGGGGATTACTCCTGAGCTGCTATGTGCTGGTGGGCATTTTGAGGATGGGTCCATGGGAAGGAGCTTGTTCAGTACATCTTTGCCTGCAAAGTGTTTACATGTACCAGTTAATCAGTCAATAGATCCTGGTATAGCTGGGTGAGCCCCAGATTCTTCTTTGCTTTCTTTTTAAAAAAATGTTTTAATTGATTTGAGAGAGAGGAAGGAGAGAGAGAAACGTTATCCATCTGCTGCTGCCTCCAGCATAGCCTTTGCTGGGGATCCACCTCAAAAACTAGGCATGTGCCCAGCTGGTAATCAAACCAACAACCTCTTGGTTCATGGGTTGATGCTAAACCACAGAGCCACACCAGCTAGGCATCTTTGCTTTCTAAAATAGCAAATAGAGGTGCTGCCTCAGGGTGTCCCTGCCTGGGTTCCCTGGCCCTGTACCACATTTTCATTCCTGGGGACCTAAGTCACTCTGATGAACTTGCAGTTCCATAGAGCTGGGTGTGATCCTCTCAATCCTATGCTCTTGAAGTGTGCAGTGACCTTCCCCACTTCCTGGGATTTATCTACCATCATAACACAGCACCACTAGCTTTTCCCCATTTCACAGTTTCATGATTTCCTATGATAGCACTTGTATTGTGGATGCATTCCAAGGAGGACTTCAGAGCACTTAACTTTTATTAAAAGAATGCAGAAGAGGGTCCTCAGAGAAACACGAAGCCGTAGGAATTATTATGTAGTGTAAAGGTAACTTTTAGGATGTGACATATTGATATGTTGAAATTTGGTTCATTTTTTATTTAAAAATTCACATATTTTCCTTCTTTTACTTTAATTTCTTTCTAAACAAAAGAATTTAAACAGCACTTTGCAGTTTTGTAATGTGCAGTTTTTCACATTCAGTTATTCAAGCAAAACTGGAGGGAGAGAAACATAAATCAGTGTTCTCCCTTCAAGAAGTTTCCCCTCTGGTGGGATGAAGACAGAAGCAACATAATGAACAGCACAATTCTGCAGTTGGAACTATCATTCTGTGGTTGAGCTAGAGCTCTTTAATAGAAATATATCCAGACCAGAGTCCTCAGGGCTGAAGAAGCTTCTGATGTAGCTCTGTTTTTGTTGGCTGAGCCAGCAGCTTAATCCTCCTTCAGCTTCCCCACCTGTCTTCTTGGGAGTGCCAATAAGTAACCACCCATTCGCCCAGTTCCAGCCAACTGTGCTGGGCTAGGTGTGTGAACTGATTGCATATGTTACCAAGGAAATTATTGGGATGTCAAATGGTGGTGTCATCTTCCTGGCAACATACTCCTGAGCAGATTGTGATCCAGTGACCTACAGGTCTATCATTCAAAATGCCAGTCCCACTGCTGGTCCATCCCCTCCTTTGTTCTTCAGGCAGGAACCCCATGTGGCAAGGGAGACATACAAGAAGGTCCAGGCCTGTTCTAGGGCTGTTGCTCCCTGAGTGACACCCAGTCCATCCAATAAGGTAAAGCCTGAGCCATGTGTATTTATTCCCTCTCCACCTTCTACATTAACTTTTACACATCCCTCTAGATAGCTCTCTACCAGGACTGAAAAAAAAGGGATGACAATTTTCTTAAAATATTTTGAATCATGGTTTTTCTTACTTTAAATCACAAAATGAAACAAATACTTAAAACATTTGCTCAGACTAACTCCTCACTTTTTCCCTTTCCTGGGTATCAAATATCATACTTTCCCATCCTCTCCTCCTTTTTTTGAGATCATTATGTATATGTGTTCTTGGACTGTCCCAGGCTTTTCCATGTCCCTTTAATGTAAACCTATTATGATATTCTAGATGACTATTTGTTTAATTATTTTGAAACATACTTATTTTCAGAAGTCAACATAAATCTTTGAGCTCCTCAAAGCTTGCCTTACACAATCTAGTATGAAAGTCTAGCTTGTTTCATTCATTGATATGTAAACTTCTATTAATCCACTCTACAAATTATTATTGAACATTGAGTAAGACATGATGCAATATGAGTTAGAGAGATAACCTAACCAATCTTGTACTGTTTGGCAGATCACATACAATACAAAAGCAAGTGTAATTTAAAGTTGAAAATGACAAATGCCCAAAGAGAAATGAGTGGGGTAATTAATAGTTCTTTTCTTTTTTAAGATAAAGGGACACATTCCTACATCCAAGCAAATGTGCCTTCACCTTTTTATAGATTTTGCTAAACATCTCTTATAATCAATGGCGCATGCTTCCTACCGTTGATGAACACTGGGTATTGTTCACCTCCACTTTTCTTCTGGGCCAATTTTATGGATAAGCAATATAATCTAATTTTTATAATCATAAGATAGCCAGTGGGATGGAGTCCCTTTTTATACATATTCATCAGTTCTTGGAATTTCTTTCTGCCTCTGTTATTTCTAGTAGTATCATGCTCTAATAAAGATTTTACCTCGGTGTCCATTGTGTATGCAGTAAATAATGCTTTCCAGTCACTTACTAGGATGTCGGATAACATTCTTAGAAAGATCCAATGCGTAATGTACTCTAATCTCTTTAAACTGATCCATGTGTCATTAGCACAGGACTTTTGTGTCACAGGAATTAGCCAGAGCCCTGCAGTCCCCAACAGTGCTCTGTAACAAAGATTTCACAGTGCTTCAGTCCCGAAGGGAGTCTGAACCAATAGGTAAAACGAATTCCTCATGCTACTGAATATTTAAGGGAATTGGGATCCAGGTTGGACTGATATGAAATGCGTGTGCTGCCTTCTCTCGGGTGAGCTCCTTGGTGTTCTGAAAAGCACGGTAGTGATTCTGACATGCCCTTCACAGTGTAACAACTGCTTTTGAGTGGGAAACTGCACCCCTACACATTCTGCTGCCCTCTGACCTGGCCTCATCAGAAGCCCAGTCCTTCTACAGCAGGCGGCTTCTCTTAAGTGTACTTTCCTGGGTTGAAGTTTTCCCTGTGATTTTTGTTTCAGACTCTCGGGTCACAGGCCATTGATTATACCTGCAGGTTCATTATCCCTTGGCTCTTGTTTTATTTGAGTGTCAGAAGTAAACAATTAGCCCATTTCCATCACTTTGAGGGAATCCATTAGCTCATTACTCGCCTTGGAAAATTAACGTCCACCTGCCTTCATCCATCTGTGTTGTTACCAACTAGAATTGTATTATCTAGTCAAGTGAAGATATTTTCATACTAAAGAATTTCCTAAGACTTCTCACAACTAGAATTAAAAGAAAGCACTTGTGTAGAATGCAGTCCAGGTTCTTTGCAAACTATGGCAATACATCCATTCATGACACACATACACTGATCTTGTATTGATATTGTTCATCTTATAATTCTGTCTGAATTTTAAGACTGGCATTCTGACCTATCATATCAATCCATACCCCCTTCCATGGCATTTTTTAAATTATAGCATAATTTACATGTAATAAAACTTACCATATTAAAATATAACAATTTGATTAACTTTATGACTATGTGTAATCAGGATGTGTACAGCATAATTTTTATCACCCCAAAATATTTACACATACCCCAGACAAACATGTTTCCTATTCCTGTAATTTTGGCTTTTCTAGAATTTCATAAAAATTGAATCAGATAGTATTTTTGTATCTGGTGTCTTTTACTTAATACAATGTTTTGTGATTCATCCAGTTGTCACACGTATAGTTTGTTTCCTTTTATTATTGAGTAGTGCTCAATTGTATGTATTTAACATAACTTCTTAATGCACCAGTACTGGTATATATAGGTTGTTTCCAAATTTTGGATATTAAGAAACAACACACTATGAACATTCTGGTAGAAATCTTTGTGTGGGTGTATGCATTTACACGTTTAAATACCGACAGGTAAATCTGCTGAGTCTTGTGATAAAATGCCTACATAGTTGCAAGTTACTGAATTATTTTCCAAAGAAGTTATGTTATTTGCATTCCCATCAGCCACAGCTATTTTAGTTTTTCCAAATCTCCCCTAGCATCTTCTATTATTAGCCTTTTTAATTTTAGTTAATGTAGTGGGTGTATAGTGAGCGATACTTCATTGTGGCTTTAAATTTGCATTTCCCTGGTAAATACTGACATTAAGCATCTTTTCATATACGTGTTTATCATCTATTTGTCTATAATTACATTTATGTTCAAAGTTTTTTCAATTTAAAAAAGTTGAACTATTTGGATTTTTTGTTGAGTTGAAGGATTTCTTTATATTCTGTATCCAATCTTATGTACAGTATATCTATTGAAATAATTACATCTAATATGACTTGTCCTTTTATTTTCTTAAAAGTTTATTTTGCCCTGGCTGATGTGGCTCAGTGGTTGAGCATAGATCTATGAACTAGGAAGTCACAGTTTGATTCCCTCTCAGGACATATGCCCAGTTGTGGGCTCCATCCCCAGTGTGGGGATGCAAGAGGCAGCTGATCAATGGTTCTGTCATCATTGATGTTTCTTTATCTCTCTTTCTCCCTTCCTCTCTGAAATAAACAAAACTATGTTTTAAAGAAAGTTTCTTTTGAAGAGCAAAGGTTTTTCATTTTGAAAAATCCCACTTTGTGTGTGTGTGTGTGTGTGTGTGTGTGTGTGTGGTCTATACCTTCTGTGTGCTAGGAAACCTTTGCCTACCAAGATTACAAAGATTATTCTCATATGTGTTCTTTAGAATGTTATAGTTTTAGTTCATGTATTTAGGTCTATAGTCCATTGCAGGCTAATGTTTGAATGCTATCTAATAAGAAACAAAGTTTATTTTTTTCACATGTCCAATTGTTTCATAATCATTTTCCACACAGAATTCCTCTATTATTTTTTGTAAAAAGTTATTTATGAGTCACTCTATTTTGGGGGGCTCTATTCTCTTCCAGGGGTTATATACATATAATCACCCTAGTGAAATACTCTCTTGATTATGCTTGTTTTATAGAAAATATTTTTAAAAGCTTGTGCAAGTCTTCCAATTTTGTTATTTTTCAAAGTTGCATTTGCTTTTCTATTTGCATTTCTATGTAAATGTTAGAACCCACATGTCATTTTTCACACACAAAAACATAAAACAAACAAACAGAAAACAAAATCCCTAGATCAATTTAGGGAGAATTGACATTTTAAAAATATTGAGTCAACTGATCCATGAACATGGTATATCAATCCATATTTTTGAGATCTTTAATTTCTCTCAACACTGTTTTATACCTTTCACTATATAATTTTACATATTTTGGAAAATTTAGAAAATTTTATTAAACTTTGCAAGTGTGGTTAAATTTAAGAACTTGCGATGGGAGAGCATCCTGGATTATCTAGGTGGGCCTAATGTATCCATAAAAACCCTTAGTAGAAGAAGGCAAGAGTGTCAGGGTCTAAAGAGGTGTAATAAATGGAAGCAAAGTCAGAGTGGTATGGGGTCATGAACCAAGAAATATCCACTATTAAGCCCCTATTTTGATTTCTCAGTAACAGTTTCATTTTCAGCTCTAAAAGTTACATTTGAAGATGTAAGCTTTATCATTTCAATCTTGTCATCTACTTTCTTGACCTCAGTTGGTTGAATAGTATTTATTTTAAAGTCCATATTTAATCACCTCAATATCTTGGTCACCTATGGCTGCATTTTATTATCCGTTTTATTTTCTTTTGGTCCTGTTTCTAGTTATGCATAGAAAGTTTTGATTGATAACAAGACATCGTGTATTTAAAAAAAGTATAGAGTTTCTGGCTGACATGATGTTCCTCTGGGGATGATTTTCTTTGTTTTCTGGCAGATAGCTAGAGTAGAAGAGGTCACCTGTAATCAAGAGCTAAGCTCCTTAAGTGCTGGTTTGACTATGTTGTCAGTCTCCGGCTACAATGGATCATCCTAGTCCTGACATAGAGCCCTTCATAGGCACCAGTGTTGAGGTTGGGCAGTTTACTAAGATCCCTCCCCTAAAAAAATTCTAATTTTTATCTCCTCTCAGTACCTAGTGACTTCAACATTCTGCTCCATTATTTAGTCTTTAAATTTTTTCTTTGTGCCTTAGCCTGTTAACTCTGCATACCTTAAGGTTTGACAAATACTTTAAGCCTCTACCTCCTGGTTCTCCATCAGGGTGATTTTGTCCTTCAGGGGGCATTGGACAGTTCTCACAACTCTGGGAGTGGGGGTTGGGAGTGGGTTGCTATTGACATCTAGTGGGTGGAGGCCAGGGATACTGTTCAACATCCTACAATGCATTTACCCCCAGGATAAAGAATTACTTGGCCTGACATGTCAACAGTGTGGAGGATGAGAAATCTTGGTCGAAACCACTGAGGGCCATCTTTGCTTCCTTCTGCCTCTCTTTTCTTGTAGATCTTATTTCTTCCTGACTAGATTGCCTTGCCAGCTGCAGGAGTCTATATTTTTAAAATCTTCTGCCTCCTGAGATATTAAATATCTTTGCTAGTTTTCTGTCTTGTAGCACAGAGGCTCTGCCAAGCTCCTCAGCTTCATCTCCTGTGCCAACAATAGGCAAGTCCCCAAGGGTAGGCAAGGCTTCCAGAAATTGTGCTCATTTCAATGTGCCTCCTTTTCTGTATCATCAGGTGCCTTGAATCCCACCTACCTTATTATATCTCCAACGTCATCAATGTTTTAAAAATTCTGTTGAGTGTTTTTCCAGTTGTTGTTGACCGGAGTCCACAGGCTATGCCTTTATAGCTATGGACTATTGTCCTCCTCACTGATGAGAGAGTAAGACATGGTAGGCAGAAGCAATGCTCAGAGGAGTAACTGTGAAGAAAAGTGTTCCATATTCCCTGGGAGACAGGAGGCAGCCTCAGTGTGTCCTTCACAGCCAGTAAAAGGAAACTGAAAAAATCTTTCACAGAAGATCTGTTTGCTCCAAAACTTTAGAGAAAGCTAGAAGCTAGAGAGGTAAGAGTAAACACACACACACACACACACACACACACAAACACACCAAAACAGACAAACAAACAACAACAAAAAACACACACAAACTCATAACAAGGAAACCACCAGCATAGCCAGGAGCTGAATCTGTAATGCTCTCAAGAATCACTTTCAGGCAATGCCCTGAGATGCCGTTTTATTTTTTTTTTTAATATATTTTTTTGATTTTTTTTACAGAGAGAAAGGGGGAGGGATAGGGAGTTAAAAGCATCAATGAGAGAGAAACATCCATCAGTTGCCTCCTGCAGACCTCCCACTGGGGACATGCCCGCAACCAAGATTCATGCCCTTGTCCGGAATCGAACATGGGAACTTCCAGTCTGCAGGCTGATGCTCTATTCACTGAACCAAACCTGTTAGGGCATAGGAGGCTGTTTTAAACCTAGTTCTGGGCTTGGCATGGGGCAAGCTCTGTACATTCAGAAACCTGAGTACAGCGGGTAGAATCCCTGCACCCCCACGAGGCTATACATACAATTCTCATACAAAATAGCCAATGTGAAGAAAGAAAGCTCATAACTAATTGTAATGTGAATCAATTCTTGTGAAATGAATTTTAGGTGGTTTTAAATAATGTATGTCTAGGATGTCAAAAAGTAAATATTTAGAGAACATCCACTAAAATAAACTTTAAAATTATAACAAAAATAAACTTGAGAGGAAAATAAAATGCCTCAAAAGGTCAAATTAAAAACTTGGAATTTATAGCAATGGAAATTAAATAGATTAGAAGAAATGTGGAATGAACCTAAAGGAAAAAGAGCCAGCTGAAGTTGAATTGAAGAATTCATTGAGAATCAAGTCATGACCAACAGAAGGAAAAAGTGGAAGATCATTAAGTGAGCAGCGTAAGATTGATAAGCCCCCACTATAGATGCACAAATTCTGGAAGGAGTGTGGAAAAGCAATGTATGAGTGAGATTTTTCAGGTTTTAAGAAACTCGGAGTCCTTAGTTAGAAAATACACAACAAATGCCATGCAGGAAAAATAAAAACAAATCTATAACTTGACACGTAGGAGTGAAATTGTAAAACATTTAAGAGAAAATCTTTAAAGCTAGCCAAGGGAGAAGAGATTACCTTCACATGAGTTGTAATTTGACTCAGAACAGACTTATCACCCCAAAGCATGTCCAGAAGACAGAAGAATCTTATATAGAAAATCCCGAGGGAAGCTCCCTGTTTTCCTAGACACTTATGCTCAGCTAAATCTTCATTCCTGTATGAGGGTAAAGCAAAGGCGGTTTTAGTCACACAAAGACTCTTCCCATTTACAGAATAATACCAAACGATTTGTTACAATGGGCACTTCAGGGAGAGGAGCTGTAAGCACAGGGCAGAGACCAGAGGAAAAACAAGTGAGCACAGAAACAATAAAATTATGTCTGTAGATTAAATTTTTTGTACATTTAAGAAGGTAAAACAAAAAATATAGCAATAAGAAAAAAGGTGTGCAATGCATTTTTAAGGCCTGCTAGGATTTCTGACAAGTTCTGCAAATGATAAAAGCATAGAATAACATTAGCCTTTATAAGAAAAATGTGAAGTTAAATTTAAGAAAAATATTTGAAGATTAGTAACATAATTTATAGCTTCAAATAAGCAGAGACAAATGGGTGATAAAAGTATTTATTAGTCAATTAGAAACTGGGGGAGGGAGGGAGAAAGCAAAGGGAAGTAAATAAATTTAAAAGTTCTTATGGTATACAATTTATTTTAGAAAATAAGAGAATTCAACTTATTCATGAGACTTTCATAACAAAACAAAAATTACAGTATAATACAAAAAAAGAAAAACAGACTGATTTCACTTTAGTTATAAGTCCAAACGTCTAAAATAAATGTCAATGAATATAGTAATGTCATAACAAAAATATGACAATATACATTTTATGTCAATAATGTAAGGTCATATCAACATTAAGAACTATATCAATGGCAAAAAAGAAAAAAACACCAGAAACTTGACAATATCAAGTGCTGGCAAGCAAACACAAAATTTCTCTGAAAAAAACAAAAAACAACACACAACTTTTTCCCTATGACTAAAATTAAGACAAAAATCATACAGAGTCAAAAGAAGTATATTTTAAAATGTAGGGCATTAGGAATATGATTGGCTGTTGAAATTAACACTACTAGAATGTTTTGTTATGTTATTCATTTTCAAACATTCTACAGGAAACGATGCTTAGTGGTGAAGGACTGGAAGTTTCCTGGTATCACCATCCTTTCTCACTTATTAATGCTCCATCCTTTCACAGTTCTCCCTAAGACAAATTTAAAACATTTGTTAGATTGTAACAGTTCTGTGCTCAAATCTATTTCAAAGTGTGGCCCGTGGATGATCTCTATTACCTCTCCTATAATTTCTTATCCCTAGTCATGTTTTTGTTTCTGTTTTTTAAACCATTTTTCCCACCCTGATATTTCTTTTTTTTTTAATTAGTTTTATTGATTTCAGAGAGGAAGGGGAAGAGAGAGAGAGAGACAGAAATATCAATGATGAGAGAGAATCATCGATAGGTAGTCTTCTGTACATCCTCTACTGGGTATCAAACTCACATCCATGTGCCCTGACTTGGAATCAAACTATGATCTGGTTCATAGGTTGATACTCAACCACTGATCATGTCAGCCTGGCCTCCCTGGTATTTCTTTAACATGCCAGACACACGCCTGCCTCAGGGCCTTAGCTCTTGCTGCTTGCCTGCCTAGAAAGCGTTTATCCTAGTACCTAACTACCCACCTCTCACCATCATTAAGTTTGTTTCTCAATTGTCATTTTCTCTAAAGTGTCATCCTGTCACCACTATTTAACACAGTAGCTCCCACCTCTAGGACCCCCTTATCTGGTCTATATTTTCTTGTTCCCTTGGAATGCACACCATTTTTGTTTACTGTATTATGTATTATTTATTTTCCCCTGCTACAACATAAGTTTCACTAGGGCTTGGATCATGTCTGTTTTATATCCCAAATGACCACGTGCCCAGGAATAGTATAACACATTTAGTAGGCATTTAAGAAATACTTGTTAAATGATAAAGTGAGGAAATTTTGTTAAAGCTAGGTGCATTTAAAAGTGTGTATTGGAAAAAAAATTTAAATACATTTAAAAGTATGTTTTAAAAATATATAAAACTTATATGTATGTATAAACTCAAAACAACCATGGGGATGTTTTTGAATTATTTGCATTCTAAAATGAGCATGTCTTCATATATATGTTGACAGTCTCTAGTTTATTGATTTAAAATATTCACCCCTCAAAAAAATGCTTCAAGTCATTTTTAAGAAATCTGTATCTGATATTGTTTGTGTATGTTTCAAAGTGGTTTTCAACTAGAAGGCCAATAGCTCAATATTTGATTGATTTTAAGTACTAAACACATAATTTCATGGGCAAAAACCCACCAGATTACTAAATGAATACTCTCAACATCCATGAATACACACATACTACACATGTCTATGTGAAATGGATATATGCATTGGTAAAGTATGTTGCTGAAGGTATTTGGATTCTGTTCTTGCAATTTACTGTGTTTAATATGGAGGGAGAATCTCACTTTCAAAGTTTCATCTTTCTTGTTTGTGTTAAAGAGAATAAATGACATGAGCATGGGTTCAAATCTCAGATCTACAAGTACTAATAGTACAACTAGTAAAATATTTACCATTTTTGGTTTCACTTTTCTTCATCTGCAAAATAAAGTTGTTCATAGTACTTACCTTGATGGGTAGAATTCAGTAAGTTCATAGAGCTAAAGCATTTAGGACAATGTCTGGCATGTAGCAAGTGCCAGATAAGTGCCAGAACTTTCTTTTGATTTTGTGGGGAGCAAAGATGGGCTTGGGAAAATCAATGAGAAGCACTTAAGTTCTCTCAGGTGCACCTTTTCCTCAGACAAACCTAACTACTATGTTTGCCATGCACCCTGCTGTTCCAGGCATTTGTGTCTTCACACACATTGTCCTCTTCTCCTGGAAACCTGGGTCTAAGTCCTGTCACCCTCGCAGACCCATCCCAATGCTTATTCCCCCTGAGCACCTGCCTTTGCCATTCCTTCTGTGATCCCTGTCCTCTCCCCATTCATGTGCAATATATGTGTCAATAAATACAAATTTAACATCAAAATTTAACTAATACTTATTAGATTTTTCACTTTGTATTCAGCATTATGCTAGTAACTTTATTTGTATTGTCTAGTTAAATTCTTCTTAATAATGCCATGAGATGTTAGGAGTTATTTCCAATATTTACAAGTGAGGGAATTGAAGGTCATAGACAAAAGTTGACTTCTCTCAATTCTCAGAAACAATAAGTGGCAGAATGTGAATTATACATTTGCTTTCTTCATGTCATAGACTTGTTTTTTACCCTCACTAAAGGATATTTTTTCCCATTGATTTTTAGAGAGTGGAAGGGAGAAAGAGAGACAGAGAGAAACACCCATGTGAGAGAGACACATCAATTGGTTGCCTCCCATGTGACCCTGAGCAAGAACAGAAGCCTGCAATTGAGGTATGTGCCCTTGACTGGAATCGAATCCCAGGACCTTTCAGTCTGCAAGCCAATGCTCTATCCACTGAGCCAAGCCGGCTAGGGAAAGTCATGGACTTTTTTTTTTTTTTTAAGTTAAACTGTAATTGTTGGTTGTCAGGATCTTGAACTCCATTAGAAGCCTCCATTGGAAAACATGTTATCAATTAGGTTTCATAATCACAGGACAATTTCTGTTAAAGGTAGGCATTAGATGACTATAGGTTGATTGAAAGAAGGGATGAATGAATAGTGCATGAAGGAGATGACAAGAGATTAGGAAACGTGATATTTAGAACAAAACTGGGGAGGGCTTTTTTATAGTATATCATGAATTTAAACTTAGCTTATAGATTTTTAGGGGTTAATGCTACATTTGCTATTGAAAATTTATGTATCAAGAGACCAGACTGGTGATCTGCCAGAAAGGAGAGGGTTTAGGAGACTATGGAAAGATGTGAGGAATTAAGAAGCACAGATTTATGGTTATGGAATTGTCATGGGGATGTAAAGTACAACTTGGGGAATATAGTCCACACTATTGCAATAACTATGTATGGTGCAAGGTGGATACTGGAAATATTGAGGGAACACTTGGTAAAATCTGTGATTGTGTAACCACTGTGCTGTACACCTGAAACTGATATGAATTGATACTGAAAGTAAACTTTAATAAAAATATTTAAAAATTAAAAATTAATTAATTAAAACTAAAAAATAAAAAAGACATACATTTTCAAGAGTTATCTTCTGCAGGCAAGTGTGGAGAGAGAGCTTTTGGGAGGTTGCTACAGTAAATGAGGGCCAGAGCGTGGCCCAAACAGAAATGTCAACAAATTAATTCAAACTCTGTAAGTTACACAGGGGTCATGAGTCTGGGAACAACTCAGCTGGGTCCCCTGCTCAGGGTCTCCCAAGACTACAATCAAGATGTCAGATGGGCAACGTTCCCACCTGAAGCTCAAAGTTCCTCTCCAAGTTTAGGATGCTATTGGCACAATTCAGGTCAGAATTCACACTGAGGTCCCCATTCTGTTGCTGACTGTCACCTGGGCTCCTTTCATCTCTAGAGATCCCCGTGGTTTCTTCCCATGTGGCTCTTAGGGGCCCTCTCCTCACATGGCAGCTCACTTCTTCAAACCCAGTAGCAGAATCCCTCAGTCCTGATTGCCAAGACGGGGTCTTCTGTGACATAATATAACCACAGAAGACTATTCTCATCATCTTTGACATATTCTGTTCTCTAAAACCAGTCTCAAGTTCTGCCTGTACTCAAGGAAGATTCATTTTAAGGTTAGACATTGAGATACACAGATTGATCATCTGCTAGACCAGCATCAAGGAAACTAGTAGAGTGGTTACAAATGTAGATTCTACTAGTAATAGCTGACTACCAGGGTCCTGTATAACCATGGGCAGGAAACCTAGGCCTCTGTGTTTTACAGTAGTTTCCCCATCTGTAAAGGAGTATGATAAAGCATTGCTGTCATATGAGGTGGTGCGTGTGAAAAACCAGGAACCTAGCACGTGCTCATTATATATTCACCAATAGTACTTACTATATTTTGGCCAAGATGGCCTTAGCATTCCCTTCAGTTTATCTAAACTTTCGACTGGCCCATGACCTTCCTTTTTTTTTTCTTCTTTTTTTAAATATATTTTATTGATTTTTTACAGAGAGGAAGGGAGAGAGATAGAGAGCTAGAAACGTCGATGAGAGAGAAACATCGACCAGCTGCCTCTTGCACACCTCCTACCGGGGATGTGCCCGCAACCAACGTACATGCCCCTGACTGGAATCGAACTTGGGACGCTCTACCACTGAGCCAAACCGGTTTCAGCTGACCTTCCTTTTTTAATTTATTTTAGAAAACTTGTGATTGGGAATTCTTTGCTCACTTAAGATATAAATCTCCTAGCTTCTTGCCAGTTTTACAACCCAGGGATGTCTTTCTCAAGGAGCCGGGAGCCATCCCTTTGAAAGGTAATCATCAAGGAGGTTAGTAGCCTGACTTTCCTAAGGGACAATCAGCAAACAAATAATGGCTTAATCACACTGACCGACCAACCAACCTCTCCTCTAATGTCCTCTAGCACTTTCTGCTAGCTCACCCTATTGGTTAAAACCTACCATTTGATGTTGAAAAATTTTGTTTTGGTGGAGTCCAATCTCTCCCCTGTTGCAGTAGTCTTAAATAAAGTCTTCCTGGTCTATTTAATTCTGGGCAGTATCACAGCAATCCATATGGGAAGCTTCCTTTTATGACCTGGCTCCTGGGTTGCAGCTTTGGAATCTGACCAATAGGCAAAGAATAAAACCAATGATTTTTGCCATTCTTCTATCACCCTTCTTCTCTGCCCCTCTTCCATGAGTTATGGTTGCCCTCGTTGCTATTAGAAACTTCATGTAATTCCCACACTCCAGACCCACATTTTCCTTTTCCTTCTTGATTCATATAACATAAAGAATGTCATACAAAATTTCTCAGTGGGTTAAATGCCATATAATGACTCCTTGTAGTATACCTGCCAAGAGAATTTCCATTTTGACAGGCGATTTCCTTACCCAAAATAATTTTTTTTTTTAATTATGGAATTTTATTAGTAATTGCAACCTAGGGGGAGAGACACCATTAGACACTGGCACTTTCTAGAAACTTGCAATTAACTGAACAAATTGCATCCTATTTAGCTGACAAGTGGGCCCTGGTTTGCAGAAATGGACAGAGCATGCATTTACCCTGAAATGAAACGAATGAGCATATCCACAGTGAAGCGAAGAGAAATTCAAATCTAAGTCACATGGGCGCAGTGGAATCAGGACTCATTAGTCCCTTCCTCTACTTAGACACAAATAGATAAAATGGGATGGATCTTCACTTATAATTGACAAGAGGTTTAAACACAGTTTAGTAAGTCTAATGTCACTTAATGCCACAGAAGCTTATACTCTGGGGTATAAGCAGAAGTCCTAACAAGTGCTTTCACTGAGTTGCTCACTCGCAATGGCCAGTCATAATTTCAGAGGACACTGGTCTTCCGATAAATA